TGTTGCAAAATATATAACTATATATTGTATTCAATACAATGTCGGCTCCAGGTTGTGGTTGAGTTATATGTGGGGAACTCCAGGATAGACATAATTATTTTAAAGTAAATTTACATGTTTTTGTTAAGATTGTGTCACTTTTATGATAAGTAGAGTTACTTTTTAAACTGAAAAAGTTAATATTTTAGGCATAAAAAATTATATTAGTATTAAAGTAGGTTAACAAATATTATTAATAGTAGAAACATTAAATATAAATATAATCTGAGAGTTAAAAATAATATTAAAATTTACTCAATTCATTTAAACTATTTAATGTATTTAAAATTGTTAATTTAGTAAACAAATATTACAATAAAGTTGATTTATATAAATTCTAGTTTTTCGAATTAATAAATTAAAATCTTCGTAAAAAATATAAGTTTTCTGTTACTTTAAAATTTTTATTCAGGGTAAGGAATCTCCAGGAAAATGTGTCTGAATTTATATAAATTTGGAGTATGAAAATTCATAAGTGTTGGCAACACTAACTACCATTTATAACATTGTTTGCATGACTTTTCAGCCAAATGTATGATTGAATGTCACAAACAGTGTGCGATTGATGAGTATATAATATACTGTATATTCATCGAAACACTTCCACCACCAAAAGCCTTAACACATAATTTCGTGGATACTATTGACTATGACATTGAGGACATAATATATTATATGATAGCGAGATATCTTATAAATAAAATTTATATCCAATATAATAGAATATTATTCTCTATGAATGTGTCACTTTGCACATTACATACACTTATTTTTGCACCAGAATTGGACTCTTAAAAAAAGTATTGCATTAGAATCTAATGATTAGACAAACATGCATAATAGAGTTTGTCAAAATCAAAACCCATATAAATATTTTTCGGGGCTATTATACACTGTATGTGACATAATATACACACTGTTTTGAAAACCCCTAGCGATGAGAGCGAGTTTGAGATAAGGATTTACAGCGAAATGTTTTTTTAAAAAAAATATGATGATATGAGACGACAAAAAAATGCTATTTTCTAAAAAACGAGTCTACAATGCAATCGACGGGAGAAAATAGTTGTCATAATAATAATAATGAAAGTAGAAAATGAAAACTCAATATTTATTCAATCATTTCGTAGTCAATCATTGCGTTCAATGCTGAGGCTTACAATTAATGGAGTGGTAGTCGTGCACAAAATCTATCGCCAATAATAATTCATTAACTAAATTGTATTTTTGAGTCGAGAGAGAGAGAGAGAGAGAGAGACTACGAAAAATACCGGATTTTTGTTTTGTTAGTATAGTAGTGTGCGATTGCAATGCAATTATAAACTTTTTTTTCAGAGTTTAGTGTCAAAAACTATAGACTAAACGATAAAAAAGGCTGTAAAACGCGAAAAATGAACGGAAAAATCAATTGTGAACTCAAAAACTAAATTTCCAAACATTATATACTTTTTAGGCATAAATTTTTTTTATCCGGTTTACTCACTACAGTCTAAAACACAAACACACAAACTATATATTGCCCTCAAATATCAAAAACAATATACTTTTATATCAATACAAATCATAACCATTTATAACCAATAAGTAACTTAATTAGCAAGCGGTATAAAAACTATTTACATACAGTATAAAAAACTTATCATGCATACAATCTCACTTAATAGCTATTCATTATAAAAAAAACCTCCAGTGCCTACGAAACCCTAATTTAGTCGACTCGATCATGTGATCCATGTCCATTCATAGCCTAATCAGCATCACAAATATAGTTAATGTCTAAATGCATAGACACTTGTGATTAGCGCACAAAACGGGAGATTAAAAAGTCCGATGTTTTCAATGTTTTCAATACGAAAGTCATATGAAAATTGCATTTAAAAGGCATTTGTCGGCGTCTCATCTCTAAGGGAATGCCAAACACGTGACACTCGGTTCACACCCATAGGAGGTGTGGCCACCAATCGGTGATTGCCTCATAGCTTATGGCACTGACAGGAGGGGAGCGTACTGTCAGTGCACAAGCGATACACACCATACAAATGGCTGACGTTTTGTTGACATTTTGAGCCATCGTTTTGTGCGTGTCTTCAGCCACGAGTCTAACCACTAATTATCTCAACATTTAATCCACTGTTGATTATCACCCGGACATTCATTCCCAGATATAATCCGCGGTGAGTCTTAACACCACACGTGTGTGCGAGTGAGCGGTGACTACAATCAGTGTCACTATCGCGATGACCACCAATTGATCCCAACATACGGTCACTAATTATCTATGAATTGATCCGCAGATGGGATGCGACGGCGGGACTATACCCAAGAGGGATGAGTTGGTGCGGACGAAGCGCAAGAGGGAACGGGCGGACCGGTCGGTGCAATTGGCGGCCAAATGGCGCTCGTGTGCCATCAGTACCGCAAAACTGGTGGAACCGGTCGTGTCGTGTGAGTTGGGACGGCTGTACAACAAGGACGCCGTCATCGAGTACTTGTTGGACAGGGAGTCGACGCCGAACGGCTCGCTCTGCGCGCACATCCGATCGCTCAAAGACGTGGTCACTCTTCGGCTGACCGTTAAGTCCGACTTCAATGATAAGAAGCCGGAGATCGACGGCCAGTATATCGACGAACACGACTCGATGTATGTCTGTCCGGTGGTCGGCGTCGAAATGAATGGTTAGTTGTCTCGCCATTTGTCTTAAGAATACAGATATGATTGTTGCCGTCATATCTGTCTGAGTCTCGATATATGTCTAACTCTTAGCCTTTAATGTCTAATCCAATTGATCCCACGCTTTGGCTCTACAGGTAAATACAAGTTCTGTTACATCCGGTCGTGCGGTTGTGTGGTGTCCGAGAGAGCCCTCAAGGAAGTCAAGTCCGACGTCTGCCATAAGTGTAACAAAGAGTACGCCGCGGAAGACGTGATTGTGATCAACGGTTCCGATGAAGAGGTGAAAGAGTTGGAGAATCGCATGAATGAGCGCCGGCTGAAGGCCAAGGAGTCCAAGAAGTCGTCGCGCAAACGAAAGGCCACTGAAGTGGAGGCCACCGACGGCTCGCAACAGACCACCGCTACAGACATCCCGTCGACCTCTTCGGCGTCCACGGCCTCCGCATCGGCGCCCAAGACGTCCAAACCGGTGGACAAGTCGTCGAAAGACTATTCGGTGGCCAAAGACCCGATGGTCAGTGAGACATACAAATCGTTGTTCACATCGCATAAGTCGGCCAAAAACAGGCCGACCGCCCATTGGGTCACATTTAATCCGTGCTATAATTGATTCGCGAGTTCTTGTGGTCAGTGTATTATCACTGAATTGTTTCATTAAATCCTTTAATTTCATAATCGACACTAAAATTTGAATTAAAATATATGTATAATCTTAACAATAAATCTCATAAAATAGTTTTCTTTCTCTAAATACAGTACATATTGGCGACGAAAATAACTCCTAATTTATACAATAAAATTGATTGCATTTATAATATTATATATATAATGTAATTGTAATTAATAATCGTTGAGTTATTTTTAGGCAATGAGTTGTGTATATATTTATAATGTAATTAAAAAACAATTGTAATAAAACTTAAAATTCTCTAAATGAAAGACATGTNTATTATATATATAATGTAATTGTAATTAATAATCGTTGAGTTATTTTTAGGCAATGAGTTGTGTATATATTTATAATGTAATTAAAAAACAATTGTAATAAAACTTAAAATTCTCTAAATGAAAGACATGTATCGGTATAATGCTTTTGATTGAAATTGATTGTACGTATAGTCGGATCAGATCTGACCATTCAATTGGTGGTTTCGAGTCTTAATTCGGGCCGCAAATCAAAAACACAAAATCAAATCAAAGTAATCAATCGTTTCACTCAAATCACAAATACATCGAAATTACGGTTAAATTTGTTGAGTTTTAAACGGAAAACACATTTTTTCAAACACACAATCGACACAACAGTTGTGTTTTAGCACCTAATCTACCGCTGGATTCAGTCGACATCGATGTCCATCACGAGGTCGTCGCCCTCCAGTTTCATGTCTTTCGAGGCGTATATCTTCTTAACGGTTCCGGCGATCGGCGACTGCACTATCATTTCCATCTTCATGGCCGACAACACTATCAACGGTTGTCCCTTCTCTACTTTGTCGCCCTCCTGGACGCGCACTTCGATGACAGTGCCCGGCATAGGGGCGCCCACCGACCCCTTCACGCCCTTCAGGGCTTTCGGATTAGACTTCAGTTCCTAATTGTTTAGACAATAAAGTGTTAACTAAAAGTGTTTTTCAATTGTCTTTTAGTGTCACTCACTTTAGCGACGGATTTGTCTTTGACGAGAAAACTTCTCAATTGACCATTAAGTTCGAAGAACACCTCCCGTTCCCCGGTATCGGTGCGCGTCTCGGACACGGCTAGAGTTGTGATGTGCAACACCTTTCCCTTCTCGAGTGTCACCTATAAAACCAAACAAACATTGAAAACAAAATTCCTAATCACAAACAACTAAATCAAAGCCATCGATGACTCTCTGGTTCTCACCTCAAACTCTTCGCCCACTTTAGGTCCGGTGAGGAATATTCTGGTGTCAAATAGGCTGACGGGTCCGAACTCGCGCCGGAAGTCGATGAACTCGTCGCACACTTTGGGATACATGGCCGACGACATCACGTCGTAATCACTGACGGGTTCGCCGTGTTTTTCGATCAACTCGTCCCTGAGCTGCACGAAGTTTATCGGCGGTAAGTGCTGTCCCGGTCGACCCCTAATCGGCGCCAAACCCTTCAATATCTTACTCCTGAGCGGCTCCGGGAAGCCTCCGTACGGCTCGCCAATGAATCCCTGCATAAACTCGACCACCGATGACGGGAAACTCAACTCTTCGGCCCTGTCCTCGACATCGCGAGCGGACAGTTGATTCTGGACCATGAACTGAGCCAGGTCGCCCACCACCTTGGAGCTCGGGGTCACTTTAATGATATCGCC